TCTATTTGCACCCCCCCCCCCCCCCCCCCCCCCCCCCCCCCCCAAAAAAAAAAAAGAATCATTGTTCCAGTTTTTATTAGAATTTATCTGTATAGATTTTTGCAAGCCTTCTAATGATTTATATTCGTTTGGTTGTCCAATCTGCTTATCAATAAGAAAAGTTTGTATAGGGCTACTTTCCTCAATATTTTCCAATAATTCTCTTCTCAGATCATCATCACAGAGGCACTTCTCTCAAATCTCATAAATACTTGTCCAAATAATCCAGGAATCTTATCTTCTAGACAATATTTACATGCCAAGTAATGTCTATCTGCAAAATTATTATACAGAAAAGTTCGCACAGATCAAGCTGTAGACCAACAGAATCCAAAACAAAACCGCTCTCGCACTTTGTAAAACTATATCATTAATTTTATGACAAAAAGTATAAAAATATATACTAATGAAAATAATTTTATTAGTCAAAAAAAATAACCTGCTTTTCTAATTTTTCCGACTAATATGCATAATGAAAACAACAAGACACTTTAATATGTTAGGTAAAAAAACTTTTACACCATTAAAAAATACTGAAGATTCCTCACAAACACAAAGTGGTCATTCAGGGATTCCAGGTAAAGAAAATCACAAACTGAGTAAGAGACGTGGGCGTTCTGTTACAGACAAAGGTAATAATGCACCAAAAGGTGTGCGCATGGATGCCAATGTCAAAGAAGGTTCAGAATTTCCTAGCGATTTACAAGATGAACCAGGACATGATGAATTGCGCAATGCTTATCAAACTAGTCGATGCATTCCTCATCATTTGATTGAACTTATGTATCAATTAGACTTGTCGGTGCTGTGTTTACTTAGAAGGTCTACGTATGAATATAAATACCCTTTATTATCATTAGCATTTGAAGATTCTGAAATTGATAAATTTAAAAATATTGTCATTTGTTATAAAAAGAAGTCTATTCATATACAAATTGAAAATGTAGACAAATATTATGTAGATAATGATATTGGTTATGCTAGGTTATTTACTAAAGAGAAAGAAACACGAAGTTTTTTTATTAATGATTACTTCGATAGTTTTGTTAAACATCTAATCTCTAAACCAAATAATATAAAATATCTTGTTATTTATACTAATTTAGGCTTGGATCTTACAAAGGAAGAGAAATTGAAACAAGGGCGATCCTGGAGTTTTTATCCTTTTAAATTCGATGCCATAAATATGGAAAAATGTGGTATATTAAAAGACTTTTTGTTTACAAATTATAATGAGGAAGGACGTGTCCTTTATCAATTTTCGCAAGAGGAAACAACAAGAGAAGAACTTTTCAAGCGACTAGAATTTTCATCTGCTGCACAAAAAGTAATAGAAGAAAGAAACATTTCTCAGGAAAAGGTAAAAGAAAATTTTTTAGATAAATTAGTATTTGCAGTTAATCAGCCTAATAGAGAAGAACTGAACAACATTGTTAAAAGTGAAATAAAAAATAGTAAAGTTCAAGACAACTATATAGCATTACAAGAAAGAATATTATGCGATTTAACAGCTCCAGAAAAACTTGGACCTGGCATTATATATGAATTCAATTTATTAATGTCCTTCTTGCATGACATGTTTTTGCATAAGAATATGTTTTTCATAAACTCTGAAGGGAAAAGCCGTGATACGCCTAATCATATTATTATTAACCGTAAAGATAGAATTACTTACGTAAAGGCTCATAATGCAGATAGAGTTATTGGTAATAGTCAGTTATTTCCCTCCAGAACACAGGAAAGGAAGAGTAAGATTTCTGTTAATAAGCATTTTACTCTTTTCATTGAAGAATTAGAAAAGGATAAGAATATAGAATATTTTATTATCTATACTAATACATGTCTAGATCTTACAGAAGAAAATAGATTAAAAAAAGGGCAATCCAAGGATTTTCATCCTTTAAAATTTGATAGTATAGATATTCAAAAGAAGAAGTATAAAATTTTAAGAAATTGTTCGTGTATAGATAAAAATGGCCTTTATCAATTTTCACAGGAAGAAACAACCAAACTTTCAAGTCTATTAAAGCTTCCGTCTTCTTTCCAAAGGGAAAAAGAAGAAGAAAGACTCTCTGATGAGAATGAAAAAGAAATAAAAGAGAAATTTTTAGATAAACTAATATTTGCAGTTAATCAGCCTAATAGAGAACAACTGAACAACGCTATAAAAAATGAAATAGAAAATAAGTCTAATAAAGTTCCGTATAATTACGAAGAATTACATGAAATAGCCTTACGTTGGTCAGAATCTCATGAATTTGGCCATATTACAAAAGGAATAATGGAAAAGCTTTTGGGAGATATAAAAAGTAATAGATCTAGTTATCCGGAAATTCAAGATAAAAACATTAATGAAGAAATAAAATTTGCTAGAAGTGTGGTTGGTAGAGAAGGGACGCCTGCATTTAATCAGTTCTTAGATTTTTTAATCAAAGGAGAAGGAAAAAAATATCTAAAAGTTCTGAAAGGAAAAGGAATAAATCTACCTAATATGTCCAGCATTTTGAATAGAGCAGGAAATAATGCTGTGCAAGCTTTTAAAGAGTTATATGATCTTTGGTTTGATGTAAAAGGAAATAAAACACAATATTTAAAATCTCTAGAAGATGAAGGAGTAAATCTAGCTAGGATGTCCAGTGTTTTGAATGGAGCAGGAAATAATGCTGCAAAAGCTTTTAAAGACTTATACGATATTTGGTTTGATGTAAAAGGAAATAAAACACACTATTTAAAAGCTCTAGAAGAGGAAGGAGTAAATCTAGCTAGGATGTCCAGTGTTTTGAATGGAGCAGGAAGTAATGCTGCGAAAGCTTTTAAAGATTTATATGATCTGTGGCTTGATACGAAAGGAACTAAAACACAATATTTAAAAACTCTAGAACATGAAGGAGTAAATCTACCTAATATGTCCAGTATTTTGAATGGAGCAGGAAATAAGGCTGCGAAAGCTTTTAAAGATTTATATGATCTGTGGTTTGATACGAAAGGAAATAAAACACAATACTTAAAAACTCTAAAAAAGGAAGGAGTAAATCTACCTCATATGTCCAGTATTTTGAGTGGAGCAGGAACTAATGCTGCAAATGTTTTTAAAGAGTTATATGATCTTTGGTTTGATGTAAAAGGAAATAAAACACAATATTTAAAAGCTCTTGAGGAGGAAGGAGTAAATCTAGGTAGGATGTCCAGCATTTTGGGTAGAGCAGCAGCTAATGCTGCAAAAGCCTTTAAAGACTTGTACGACCTTTGGTTTGATGCAGAAGGAGAAAAGACACAATATTTAAAAACTCTAGAGAAGGAAGGAATAAACCTAACTAATATATCCAGTATTTTGCATGGAGCAGCAGCTAATGCTGCAAAAGCTTTTAAAGACTTATATACTCTTTGGTTTGATGTAGAAGGAAAGAAAAAACAGCATTTAAAGCACTTTATTAAGAAAAATAATGAGGAAAAAAGTTTTACGATACATAACTTATCCAGTATTTTAAATGGGGCAGGAGCTAATGTTAAAGATGCTTTTGAAAAATTGCATAGTGTTTGCTTTAACAACAAAGGAGAAAGAACAGTACTTTTAGATGATTTCTATAATGCAGATTTTGAGCCAAGTAACTTGTCCTGCATATTATGTGGAGCAGGAGTTCGTGCTTCCTCTATTTTAAAGAGATTGCACTGTGTTTGTTTTGATCACGAAGGAAAAAGAACAGGACTTTTAGATGATTTCTATAATGCAGGTTTTAGACCGGGTGATTTGAGCAATATATTGAGTGGAGCAGTAGATAGTTTAAAGGAATTTCATGATTTTTGTTTTACGGGAGAAACAAAAAAATATTTAAATCATTTTTTAAATGAGAAAGAAGGTTTTACGCTGAGTAATTTATCTGATATATTGCATGGAACAAGAGCTAATGTTTGTCCTGTTTTAAAAGATTTTCATGATGTTTGTTTTGACGAGACAGGAAACAAAACACAGCTTTTAGATGATTTCTATAATGCAGGTTTTAGATCGGATGATTTATCCAATACATTATCTATGGCAGGAAATAACGCCACTTCTGTTTTAAGGAATTTTCATAAATTATGTTTTAGTAAAGATAATTATTTAGATCATTTCTTAGCTGAGGAAGAACTTTTTACTCCGAAAGATTTATCTAGGATATTACGTGGAGTAGGAATGAATATTTCTTCTATCTTTGTAAAACTGCATGATCTATGTTTTGATAAGTCAGGAAACAGAACAGATTACTTAGATAGTCTTATCAAAAATAGAACGTCAAATAAAATTCTTGATGTATTATATGAAAGAGTTAGAAAAGCGTCTTCTACTTTCTTAAATGGTATACCATTTCAACAACAAGATATTAGTATAGGAGAAGAAAGCGAAATGAAGTATGATGATGAAGAAGAGTATATGGGTTCAGGTAATCAGAATAAAAGTAGCACAAAGCAAAAAGTTAGTCTAAAACAAAGCAATTCTAGTTCCCATAAGAGAAAAGTCGAAGAAATATTTAGTTCAAAACAGAAACGTAAACGTCTGTCAAGTAAGCACTACACTTTTCGATATTTCGATTCTATCGAGTAGGTGTATAATGTCAAGTTAGCACTACATACCATTTTTTCCTAAAAATCGAAAGCTACAAATTCCATAACATATTTATAACAACAAAGCTACAATTAATGCCGTTTTAACATTTTCAATACCTCAATTCTATCGACTAGGTGTATGGTGTCAAGTTAGCACTACATACCACTCATTGCGGGCAGAAAATACAATTACAATACAGGAACTTCACACTGCTGGAAGAGCAGAACATTTCTATGTATATTAAAAAAAAATAAATAAAATATTTAAAAAAAAAAGATAAAATAGGTTTTGAATTGAATAGTTAAAAAGTAAAAAAAGTAGATATGTCTATTAAAAATAGAAATGCATTAAAAAAATTATATTAAAACTAAAAAATTAAAAGCGGAAAACAATAAATCTAATAAGACTGAAATATGTACGTATATTGAAAATATTGTTAACTTTAGATTACAATTTTTTCATATAATATTCATTTTATTTTTATATACATATCTATGGATGTGCATAGTACATTAGTATAATGTATGTATACTTCACTGTAAATTTAATTCATAATTACTTAATAATGCCCAGTTACAGTACAACGGGTAAAAAGATATAAAATATATAAGAAAATACCTCTCAATTAAAATTTAATTAGTTTTAGTTAATTAAATTGTTATTTAAAAAAAAAACAAAATTTGAATTTTATAAGCCACCACTTTTAATTTCTGTAATTGCATATATGTATGTAGTAATGTCGGCAGCGATTGTAATTGACGTTAGCAGTGTCGCTGGCACCGGCAGCAACTTCCTCCAAGACCAACAACCTTTGGCAAAAAGCAATAATAGTAGCAGCAACAATAACAATGCCAATAATACGCATACTAATGGTAGTTCAACAACCACGGTAACAAGCAGCACGGGCACCAACACGGAGGCAATATAATGTGTAAGCGATGATTCGGATGTGGAAGAAATGTGGCCCAATTCTCAAGGAAATTACAGATACCCGTGAGGCAGCAGCTACCGCAGCAGTAGCATATAAAAAAAAAATGTTTACATGCTTAGAAGGTGCAGCAATTCAGTCCCGTCTACCCTTCGATAAGATGACATCAAATGAGGCCGCCTGTTTTTCTGACATCACCAAGACAGGTTTGGTGGCACAGCATGTTTTCCTGAACATACGCAACCACCTTTTGCAAATGTCGATCGAGAATTCAAAGCAGCAGCTTATTATAGAAAACGCTATAAAAGATATAGAGCCACCATTCGATAGCGATCCGAACCTGATGAAGCGCGTACATTCGTTCCTTGGAGCGAAATGGTTTTATTAACTTTGGCATTTTTTAAACGTTTAAGTCCCCTACCAAGAAGTTGAGCAAAGTTATAGTAATTGGAGCAGGAAACTCAGGGTTAGGGGCTGCCCAACAACTACAGCGATTCGGTATGGATGTCATTGTGTTAGAAGCGCGCGATCGGGTTGGCGGCCGTATTGCTACTTTTCGCAAGAACAATTATATTGCTGATTTAGGCGCTAAGGTAACAGATATTTGGGGCAGTCCAATTACTATACTAAGCCAACAAATTGGAATGGAGATGGTGCCGATTAGGCAAGCATGTCCGCTATATGGAGTTAGTGGAAAACATGTGCCCAAGCATAAGGACGATATGGTGAGCAGAAATAATACGTAGTAAATATAGTTTATTTTATAAATATTATTGTTTTCAGGTGGAACGTGAATTCAATCGACTTCTTGATTCCGCCCGTTATCTGTCTCACCAGCTAGACTTTAACTACGCCAGCGATGATCCTATCTCATTGGGCCGAGCACTTGAATGGATCATTAAGGTGCAAGAGAAGGCGTCAAAGAAAAACACGTGCAACACTTGTTCTTGGTGTTTTAGCGGCTACTAAGCCCCGCTCGGGCCGTTCATCCGTCAACGTTGTCGTCTGTTTCAGCTAAGGGGAGGCTCAGGAAGTGTGCGACTTCAACAGTGGTTGTCCATAAGTACAGGGGCGTCAGTTGCATGGGGTCACGTGCAACACTTGACGATGCTCGCTAAAGCACAACGTGCGGCTATCGCATGTCAAAATACAAACCTATAAAGGGACACATTCAAAACTCATAAAATCACGTCCACAGCGCATGCGCTATGGATTGAATACGAGTTTGCAATACGTTCCACTCATTTTGAATGGACCAAAGCCTGTAAGGAGTATGATGAACTTATCAAAGAAGAAAAAGCACTGCAAGCTAAATTGAAGGAAAATGCAAGCAACCCTCCTAGGTATGTGCAATAATTTAAATTTTGACTTTTTTGCAAACTAATGTTCCTATTACTTTCCCTAGTGATGTTTACCACTCCTCTAAGGATTGTCAAATACTGGACTGGCACTTTGCGTTTCTGGAGTTTGCCAATGCCACAACACTCAGTATTCTATTCCTTAAGCATTGGGATTAAGATGATGATTTCGAGTTCACACAATAGCTTTGACGGAAGGTTTAGATATACGCGTGAATACCGCCGTAAAAATGATTAAATATTTTCATACTGGCGTGGAAATTGTGAATGAAAACCTGAAGACAAACAATTCTGCCGTTACATACAAGGCAGACATCGCGCTCTGCACTCTAACGCTAGGTGTGCTAAAGATAGCCACCACCAAAGTGCAATCACAACAAGCAAATACCGTAAAGTTTGAGCCACCATTACCCGATTTGAAGCTATCAGCTATACAGCGATTAGGATTTCAAGTTTAATTAAGTAATTTTAAATAATCTAGTTTAATAGTCAATAGTTGTGTATTGATATATGTATGCTTACCTATACATATACACTCGGTCTTTTTTTATGCGGTACATGCGTTCCTCAGAAAGCCGCATAAAAAAGTTCTTTAGTTTCATACAAAAACAGGGGATGCGTTCCAGCATTTACAAAAACCGCTTAAATTCAGATATTCCATGTAAAAAATTCTAAAACCGCATAAAAAATCCAGTGAGGCAATATTAAGCAAACAAAAAAAAAAACAATTTATTTCTTCACTTCAACACTTATTATTCCATGTAAAACTGAACATTAATGAAATCAATAAAATTGTATCTGTATTTTAACCAAAAACAAAAACACCACAATAAATACATGAATTGTGTAAAAATACAAAGACAAATTATTTATCAGAAGAATTGTCTCTAATTCACTGAAAAAAGTGAAAAAAAACTCTCGAAAAAGCAAAATAGCTACAGCCAAAAAATGGTTTAAAAATCCGTATAAATTCAAATCCGCATAAAAATAAACAGCATAAGAAAAGAGACCTAAGTGTACATAAAAGCAGATAGAATCTATAAAATTTTGCAAGGTTGTAAGAAAACTAAATTTTTGTAAACCCTAATAATTAATTTTTAACTCTTAATAAATATTAAAAGAAGGGTAAATCGATTACCTTTCTTTTGATTATAATGTCATTGAAATCGCTTAACTTTTTTATAAAAATTTTGCAACTTTTGAGAAAACTGATAACACCAATCGAAAGACCTTATTTCAAAATATATAACTGCATCTAGAACTAAAAATGGGCAAAATTGCGCTTACGACAATCTTTTACCCAGGCGAGACGATATATCAAAAGAATGGTAAATCGATTACTTTTCTTTTGATTGTAATGTCTTTGAAATCGCTTAACTCTTTAATAAAAAATTTTGCAACTTTTGAGAACACATACATATATGTAAGCAGGGAAAAGGTCCTAAAATTTTGTATACTTTCGAAAACATGTACAAAGGAAATATAAATGAAAGGAATAATAAATAATAATGAAGGAATAAAGCAAATAAAAATAGTTGTTTTCTGCCCTGCTCTTTTAAAAGCTAAATAAATGCAACGAAGATTTTATTTTTTCAACCACAGAATTAATTTAGTTTTTAGTATACTTTTGGGTAATTTGGCTTATAAATTTTATGAATTAAATTCATTATGCATTTATAGGCTTTTTTAGTGTACATTCAATTAATGGCACGAAAAGGACTCAGAATGGCGCCAAAAGAAGCATGATGAAGCAATCGCGCTGATTCAATGCGCTGATACCGGTCATGGCGCTGGCTTCATGGTATCAGCGCCAGAAAATTTGCTGCGTTACCCAGGCCTATTTGGCCACAATCGACTATGTTCCCTACGCAGTCAGAGAACTTAGACTCTGCCCAAATGTTCCACTACGATCCAAACAAGAAAAACTAGTTTGTTTACATCTTTATTGTTGTAAAATGCAGTTTTAATTTTGGAGAGAAGGGAGAGAAATTTCCCAAAGTACCAGAGTTCCATCTTAAAACACTGTTCCTGCTGCAGTCACTTTTCGGAATTCTTCAGATCGATTAACGAAATTACTTGCAAAGCCAAGTCTGATTACACTTTCTGTTTCTTTTATGTCAACAATTAAGAGCATATTTATTATTGAAGACTTAAAATCCCATCCTGTATATGTATATATTTTTTTAATTACAACACTTTGTCGCTTTTAATTTAACGTTGTACAACACTACAGGCAAAGACAGTGTAAAGAAGAAATGTGAAAATAGCAGCTGTTTGTTTATTTGATATTCGCGAATTGCAGCAAATGCAAAAAATCCGTATTCAAACGAAAGCGGAGAAAATGCACCAGCGAAAAGTTATTAACTTTTATTAAATCTGGGAGATCTCTCTAAAAATGACAAAAGTATAACTAAAATTATATCACCGGGACTAGCTGGAAAGGCGGGGAGTGCGTGAAAAGTGAAAAATTGTTGGAAGTAGAGGTGAAATATATAAAAAAAAGTCGAGGATTATTATAGGTAACGTCACGCAATCGCGGTTGGTGAAGTCATAGCGTTCATACATATGTGGAAATCCTAAATTATAAATGTGTAATGGAATTTGAGCAATGAAGAAGTCCCTTTAATCAACGTTATGTGATTGATATAATTTGTTATAACTGCTTGGCATTGATTTAAGCTGGTGAACGAAAAAAAATGATATATGCACATTGGTTAAACGGTGACTTGTTTTTAAAAGTCAGGAAAGATTGAAAATGATTTCTGTTTAGTGGCACTGCTAGTTGGATGTGTACTTGCTTTGATCATTTCTTGATGGGAGCGGCTTTGACATTGTATAAGGTATTAAACTGCATATTCCCGTGTGAAAATCACTACTCAACCCACATTCAACAGAAATTTTAGGAAAATTTTGATATAGTGCACTCGAGCGAAAAAACGAGTTATGAGGGGTGTTAAGAGGACGGTATCCACATTCTAAAAGTAAAGATCCCAGACCGCAGACGCTATTATTTAAAAATTAATTAACTGACTAGTTCATCCACTCTATTAAAACAGTATTTCTGCGTGTAATTTCTTTCTGCCTAGACGGCTTTCGGCCGCGCTTAGAGATCATAGCCCTCGAATTCTCCTTTTTGTGCTGCCGAAGAATAGTGGCATAAGTATTTTTGGGCAGAACTTCTTTCTGCGTAGGCGGCCATTGGCCAAAGTGATATAGTTAAAGGAACCCTCCCCCAACATCCCCTTAAAAATTACATTAAAAAAAACCTAGTATATTTTGAGAAAAATCAAATAGGTCATTATAGCGAATTCAACCCCAAATTTTAAGCTTAGATAATAGTGAAACTGTAGTGAATATTGTTAAATCGAATTGACAATTTCGCAAAACGTTTAGTTCTTTAACGGAATTCTTGTTAAGTGCAGACCCAAACGGAAAACCTGTGCAGCTTTTTGTCCATAAATTAATAATAAAAATGTTTATATGACTACATATATACAGTCGTTCACAAAATAATTAGAGTACTATATTTTGACCATTTTTTTTTAATTTTTCTTTTATTTATTTAATGCTTATTAATTTTTTATAAAAGTGTAGCTCATTATCTAAATTATAAAAATTCACAAATTTTCACTACAATTTTTATTCAGAATTTTTAGAAAAAAACTATTTACAGTGGTTTTCATATATGTACCTACATACATACATAAGTAGAGACACGATTTCTTGACAAGTTTTCGCAATTTTTTAAATTTATTTTGCTACAAAGATATACATATCGTTGTTTAAAGTACAAAACCGCGTATCGTCATTCTGCAAAACCGCGTAACTGATATTTTTTTGCCAAAAATTGGATTTGCTCTAACTAGGTCTTGGCCTAATCCTCGTCAATTCGTCTTGAAATATACTAGCCAGAAATGCGATTGCTTTATTGCGCGCTTTTGCATTATCTTGATACGCGACTTTGCATTTTGGTGATACCTACGCGATTTTGTACTTTAAACGACGATATTAGTTCAAACAATAACCTTTTAACTCGAAAGTTTCAAACTTTGTGAAGGATATGTATGTATGCAAGTACATTGCAACTCGACGAATTTCAAAAAAAAAATTCATCAAAATTCCAAACTTTTCAATAAGAATTTCTAAGAATTCGCCTTAATTGTTAATTTTTTTCTGATGATTTTACGCATTTTTTCCATATAAAATATTCTCGAAATTTTTTATATGAAAGAACCACAGAAAATATTAAAAATCGAAGGAATTCTAAGCCGATTCAAACTTCCACAATGCTATACTAATTGAATGCGCTATAAAACTGCATAACAGATTTTTTTTCAGAAATTCTGATTGATTGGTTTGATTTGACATATATTTTAGTAAAAAAAAAAAAAACATTGCGAAAACTTGTAAAAAAAGTAAAGGACCTACTTACATATATGACAACCACTGTAAAAAAAGAAGTGGCCCTACTTATATGACAACTACTGTAAATACAACAGTGAAATGCTCGAAATATGTAACTATCCTGCAGGCATTTGATTTTAACTACTTTAAAATGCAATTGTTTTAAAGCACTTCAAAGTCGGTATGTTTCGTGTGAAAGCGCTTTCGTTCTGCACTTCGTATGGGCTTTTTCTTACGGGCTACAAAACCTGCATACTCGAAAATTATTTATGGTGATTTCGTTTCTACCAAAAAATTTCACCTTTTGATTGCCCCTTTCTCTTTTTGTGTTCGAGTTTAAATTAAAATTTTGTGTTCGTTTCTTAAAATGTCACACTCTTGTAAGGGAAAAAGGCAGATTCTCAGCCCTGTGAAGCTATGTCAGGTGAGATGGTTGCCCTCAAAATCAGATGGTTGTTTAAAACGACGATAGCTAGACAAGGACAATAAGCCAAAAACATGCCATTTTGCAGGGTTCAGTGTAACATCAAACACAATTTGCACTGGGGAAGGGCAACATTTTTTGGAAGAAACAAAATCACCATTAGAAACTCTAAATAAAAATTTTGAAGTTTTGATTAAAATTGTTTGAATTTTTGTAACTTTATATAAAGTGTGAAATCTTGATTTCTATGGTTTATGTTATAGAATGAACTATGTTTTCATAAATAATTTCTGAAAAAAATTGTTCATGAAAATAATTGTGAATTTTATATTACAACAAGGTCTACATTTACATTTGACACGAACTGTATGTACATACCAGGGAAATCAACTCGTGGGGAACTCCCTGGGAATTTGAGATTGCGTGGGGAATCAGGGTATGGACTGTTTTTTGTGCGGATGATGAACTCCTTTTTGTGAGGAATTAGGTGTTAACTAACTTATTCTTTTTTGCTTCACAAATTTCATAATGAGGTAAAAAAGTCGCATAAGAAATGCGACTGCAACTAAAAGTACTGATTATGCAATCCTGCAAATTATACAAATTACCGTAGATATAACGAATAAACCCACTTTTTTTATGTGGAAGAAAACCCCAACACTTACGGAAAAAAAATATTAAAACTAAAATTTTTAGCCACTTGAAACTTGCACTTTCTAGAATTGAGTGGGCTACAAAACTGCATACTCAAAATCTTTCTAGAAAATCTAATCAAAAAGCTCGATATTTTTACGAAAGTTTATAGATTTTTTTTTTTAATATTACACAAAGTTTAAGCTTGGATTTATACGGTTTTATTAAAGAATTAACTATATTTGTATAAAAAAAAGCAAATTAATAACAAAAAAAAATAAAATAAATAATTATTGTGAAAACTTGTCAAATTTGGCGACCACTGTGTATGTGTGTAAGCATTATATGTAAATTTTTTTCTTTTTTTGTTAACTAACTTTATAAAAGTTTGGTTTGGTCTATGAATACATATATACACTGCCGGAACGAAGTATTGGCACAGCAAATTTTTCACAATATTTATTTATTTATTTTCCGCTAATTTCGTATAAAAATATGGTTTATTCTACAACAAAAAACTAAAAATATAATTCCTAAACCTTGTGCAAAACTTGCGAAAATTCAGCAAATTTTCATCAAAATTTTCTACTTTTTAATCAGATTTTTTGAGTATGCAGATTTGTAGCCCAATCAATTTTATTATAATAAAGTGCAAGTTTTAAGTAGCTGGGAATTACCGTTGATTTTTGACAATTTTTTTTTCACGCAGTCTCTTCCATAAAACAAATTTTTTTCGAAAATACTTTATATGGAAAAAATGCAAAACACCTTCAACAAAAAAATTCTCAAAAATCAACGCGATTTTTGACTAACTCCGAACTTGCATTTTTTTACTAGAATTTAATGGGCTGCAAAACTGCATACTCAAATTCTAAAAAATCTAGTAAATAAATTGAACATGTTGATGAAAATTTGCTGCATTTTCGCGACTTTGCACAAAGTTTAGGAATTATATTTTTATGTTTTTTGTTGTTGAATGAACCATATTTTTATACAAAATTGGCGGAAAAATGTTAGAATAAAAATTGTTGCATATATTGTAAAAAAAATTTGCTGTGCCAATACTTTGTTCCGGCAGTGTAGCTGAATTTCATAAAAAAAAAAATTAAAAATAAACAGACAGACCAGAAATATGTACACATTAATACACACACATTTTTTTTGGAAATAAGAAGATATCCATGGGTGGGGAATTTTACGAAATTTCCCACAAAATCGGGGAATTTCATTGTCGAAATCGGGGAATTCTCAAAAACGAGTTGGCGACCTTGGTACATACATACATACGACATTAATAAAATATTATATTATAAAGAAATGAAAAAGCAATAAGTACATATTGAAGATAACTAAAATGTAAATAGCTATTAAAATTATTAAGCAAATGCAACATTTTCATATACAAACTCCCATTTCTATGCAGAATAAAAATATTATGATAAATATTTTTATTTCGCGAAATAGGTATGTTTGTATACGTAAATACATACATACATATGACTGAATAAATAAATGAAATCTGCCCAAATTCATTTAACGAATTTCAAAGCATAAAACAAAAGTAAGTATACATATGTATGTATAAACAGCAGTATGACATCAGCAGCATCCAACTCATCAATGCCACTCTCAGTGCGAACCCAAACTAAAGGAACAATAAGCACCAGCAAGCAATTGGCATAAATTGGAAAAGCAAGTAAAATGAGTAGGGAGGCAATAACCGCAACACCGACTTCGTTTGCATGCTAAGCATTGCTCGCTGCAAATTTAAATTATTTAAGTTAAAAGGCGGCACTCGACGTTAAAAGCAGAGCACTTAAGCGACGCGGAAGCGGTGGCACACACTCGACAGCCAACGGCAAATAGCGAAATGTCAGCAGTAAAGACGCGGCCCCAATAGCGCAACGTCGAGTGTTGGCAATATAAATTACCCAACAACTGCAGTCGTGCCGTTAAAAATATACTTAAAAAGAAACAAAAAAAAAAACCAAATAAAAAGTAAAAGTAGCTAAAAATCGAATTTCAATAAATTAAAGCAAAAAAGGAACCAATAGGATTAGAATTGTATACAATTCTCTAAGTAACTAAATAAATTACAAGCTTCGCGCGTGCCCAAAAAAGAAAACAAAAACACGGTACGACGTCGACGAAACCATTTGACGTTCTCTGCCTTATTCGACATTATTGAAATTTCTTGCTCTCTGCCTCCAGCTCTCTATTAGTCGGGAGATTTGCATTTTCCACACTTTCTTGCTGTTGCTTTGTTAACGTAAATTTTACGTGAATTCTTTGAATGCCCCACCACACTGCCATGGTGGCCGATAGCGAATTTCAGCTACGCGATTTCGATGGCGAAACCGAAGACTCTGACTCTGAGACTGAATTACTCATACGCCACAACGGACGCGGCCAACAAACGAAGCGAAGCGGGAGCATTGCCACCTCACGCTACTATCTCCATGATTACTCAACATCGCAGCCGACGACGTCAGTGGCTTCATCGTCGTCTATCAGCGGCAAAGCGACGGGCTTCCTCAGCCATTTGTTTGGCAACACAACGAACAGTCTTGGCCGCGCTGCCGGGCAAGTACGTCTCAGAAATGAACGTAGTCGCGAGCGCGATAAATACGCTGCCGCTAGTGCAAGAACGCAAAATCAACAAATACAACAACAGCAAGCAAGAACAGCGGGATATAATTTTGGCGGTTTTGATACGGGATTGGGTACGTCTGCGAAACTGGCGAAATTGGCGCAGACAACGCAAACGTCGTATCGCGGTGGCGGTGGTGCGACGAGTGGCGGGGTGGGAAGCGGTGTCACGGAGTCTGTAGCACTTGGTGTACGTAGCCAAAGTGGTGGCGGCGTTGGCGGTGCACATAAACGTTTCGAAACAACAGGCGCCACGGTCGCGGCTAGTGAAAGTGCTAGTGGGGGTGGCGGTATCGGCGGTGGGGCGGGTGTTGTGCTACAGCAGACAGTCTTAGATGCTGAGAACGGTTCGACGACCGTATATTACCAGAAAAATCGACGACGCAGTAAGGGCAGATCGTTGGCAAATTTATGCAAAATGTGCCTATGCGGGTGAGTACCTACTACGAGAAAAAAAAAAATGAAAATATTTGGTTGGTGGAAAAATACTTTCCCTAAGTTATTTACGCGTACGCATGGTGGCTGCTGCTTAAGATGTTTTTTGGCGCAAATGGCTCGATATTATATATATATATATATATATTTTTTTATATCTTGTCAAACAAGCGAAACCGAGTGTGTGAGTGAACAGAAAGAAATGTACAAACAAACAAAGCTAACATAAAAAAGCGAGCTGTGTTGATTAGCGTCTGCCGCAATGTGAGAATTTCTTGCTAAAAAATTATGCAAATAAAAATAAGACGATTTTGTGTGCCACTTTCGCGTGAGTGAACAGACAATTTAAAAATACTTCATAAAACACAACAACAACTCGAATTAACTATAATATCTATGTACATACATAATTCACATAAAATATTCCATATGCTAAATGTGCTTAAAAATCTCAAAGCCTAAAAAATGTGTGAGCGTGAAAACTGCTGGCAAGTATGAAAATAGCATATAGCACAAGCAAATCTATAAAAAAGAGCAACAAATAAATAAAACAACCTCGTCGAAAGTTGTGTTAAGATTTTAAGTTTTAAATATGTTAATAGCAAACAAAATCTTTTTAAGACAAGGTTTCTAAATATGGACAAAATCGAATCAATAATATCTTGACTACTGCGCCACCTACCTGAAAATTGCTTTTAGGAGTTGCTCCCTTTTATGTAAGTAATAAATATATGTATATACATATATATTATAAATATAAATTAAATCAAACCATAGAGGCTGGTTTTGGAAATATATCGACCCACGCGCCACCTACCATCTACATTTTTTGAAGAGTTATTTCCTATCGTGTAGTTAATATAAATTTCAAACAAATTTTGGGCCATATCCGTACAAAAATCAAAGTTTTTGTCTTTTGTATGAAAGCTGTCGAGTCGCATAAATAATGTCCAATTCGGATTCCTCGCACCTAAAAACCCCCAAATCGTATTTTCAGAGCAATCAAAAATCGGAAGAACTTCGCTCAAAACGGGTCCCGCCTAAAAATTTGAATTTGATACTACTCCATTAAATGTCCCACTTAACTTAGAAAAATGACTATCACCCCACTAAATTCAGCATACCCGAATTAACTTTACTAACTAGGTCGTCGGCCTGTTCAAAATGAAAAGATTTATGTTATTTATGGACAATTATATTCAACAATTTTATTGAGCTTAAAGAAAACACTTTGAGTTACATTTACAAGCTAAAAATTTTCATTAAAAACGGCCTTAAGCTCAATCAAATTGTTGAATAAAAAGTTTTACTTTCGTGCACAGTGTAGTTAAATGTTAAAGAAAACACTTTCGAGTTACATTTACAAGCTAAAATTGCATAAACAGGTTTGCCCTAAAATTATAGCAAACTGGCTATAAAAATTATAGCAAACAAAAATTTGCAAAGGTGCTAAAAAGGCGCTTGAATATTAAATAAGCAATAACTAACTAGCTATAATTTTATGGGGGAGTGTCTACCAGAGGTGCGCTCGACTTCTGTCATATCAATCTCAATGTTTACAAAGCAACCTTTAGCATCTCTAACGATTTCATGAGTGCATAGCATGCCATATGTTATAAGCTAGTGCTTTAGCCGTAATTTTATAAGAAAAAATAAAAGTATTAAATATTTATAGAAATATGTGTACATACATAGTTATCGATATGCACACACCGAATCTCTGCCGCAAAAATTGCTTCAAGCACTTGCTATAATTTTATAGCGACCGTCAAACCATTGTAAGACAAAGTGTTATAGCAATAATATTTATTAAATAAAAAATGCTTAGTTTATGTGTCTGTATCATGCATAAACTGCTGCGGGTCTTATTTTTTTTTTTTTTTTTTTTTTGAATCAACACCATTTTGTAAACAATCAAATGTAGTAATAATTCTGTGCGAAAAATAGCACAATCTCAATGTAAATATTTAGCTACGAATGCTTATGGCAGCTGGAATCGTCAAATGACTTTCAGCGTTAGACTAATGTTTATTGCCATGAGATTCGAAATTATGATATCATTAAAAGCGAAAATATATTTCATGTGGTCTGAATTAAAATAGTTCCAATATACTATATAGTACACATAGTATCAGTAGTGCGTTTATGTCTACCATATGTACATTGAATATATGGGGCGTTCCATACCAAAATGGACGGATTGATGGACAAACATAAATAATAAATAAATATGAAATTTGAGCTTGATTAATACATTTTTAAAATCTTAACAGCACAAAAATAAACCGATTTTATAGTTTTTGAAATATCTCAAGAACAAGGTGAGGAAAAAATTTGAAACAAATCACACATACAGACATCAAAATTCTCTATGAAAAGAAATATGTTTTACATTTTTTTTTCTTGAAAATTTCACATACAATTTTTCACTTACAAATTTTTTGTTTTTGTTATTTTGTGGCCTTATAATTTTTTGATAAAAAAAAACTACTTTTTGAAAATATGCCATCTCAAAAAAAAAATGGAAAAAAAATCACAATACAGGGTGCACTCTACAATAATTTGGGTAATGCCTTTTTTTCACAGCGAAGTTGAGTAAAATGAGTACATTACCAATTTTTGAATTTTTTTTTAGAAATTTTTGAGTATGCAGTTTTGTAGCCCATTAAATTTTAGTATAATAAAGTGCAAGTTTTAAGCAATTTCAAAACTGGCCTTAATTTTTTTTTTAATTTCCTTTGTTAACGGTTTTGCGCATTTTCTTCCATAGGGAAAAAGTGCAAAAAGCCGTCAACGCAATTTTGTAGTAGCTTAAAACTTGCACTTTATTATACTAGGATTTAATGGGCTACAAAATTGTATACTCAAAAAAAATTTAAAAAAAAATTTGAAAAATTTGTAAATTTGGTAATGTACTCATTTTACTCAACTTCGGTGTAAAACAAAATTCATAACTCAAATTATTGTAGAATGTACCTCGTAATACTATACTTAAATATTGCGCAATACTCAGAGCTACAATTGTGATTTTTTTCAATTTTTATGTTTGGATGGCATATTTTCAAAAACAAATTTTTTTTCATCAAAAAATTTGTATGTGAAAAAATTTTCAAGAAAAAAAAATAAAAAAAAATTTTTCTGTTCATAGAGAATTTTTTATGTGTGTATGTGTGATTTTTTTTTTTCAAATTTTTTCCTCGCCCTGTTCTCGAGATATTTAGAAACCTATTAAATCGATTTGGTTTTGTTTTTGTGCTGTAAATTTATGTATTAATCAAGCTCAAATTTCATATTTATTTATTATTTATGTTTATGCATAAACCCTAAAAATGTGAAACAAATCAAACACATGAAGTGTGAACCACGTCGATTTTGGTATGGAACGCCCCATATATATTTTTTTGGATTTCTCACTTTTCATTGTGATTTATTTTTAAATACTTTTTCAATCAAGCGTCTAAATCTGCTGATTGCGCGCATGCTGAAAATCCAGTTCGGCCTGTTTAGTTTAGTGTGGCAATGAATTTTTTATTTATTTTTTGTCTCCATTTTCGTTGTTCCTTCTAATGATTGGTTTTTAGTTACGTATTTTACTCGTTATGCTAAGTCTTATTTAAATTCAAGTCTCGAATTTGTTTCCATTTTCAAGGTCAAAGTTATCGAGCTGCTGCGTGCTTTTGGCGGTCAGTAAACTAATCAATTGGCTCGTAAATATGGATTTTATTGGAGCCAATTCAAAAAATGCCAAATATTTAAACTGTGGTTGTCCCGCTTTTATTCGCATACATTTTCGCTTCAGTAATAAACTAAATTCGAAAGCAATTTGAAATCATTTAAAGTTTTAAAAACATAACAAATAAGCAAATTAAAGATTTCGCCAAAACAAAATCTTTTATTGCGCTGTGTCTTCTCTTCGACTTCTATAGTATATTTGTGCCTCAACTTTTAAAACTTTGCCCATTTTCTGCTACCTTAGTGGCCCATTCTAATCATTGGCGCGAATCGTCAAGTTTCGTTTTTGGTTTTTGCTGTGTTTTTTTTTTCATTTGTTACGCGTTTCGGTGCTTAAACATGGCCTAATAACGAAAAGAAAAAAAAAAAACTGCTGAACAATACACAAAAAAGTTACAGGCCACCGAGCGAGCAAATAACATTAGCTACTTAAAACAACAATAACACGACCAATAGTCACATTTTGTGCTGAGGAATTTTTTTTTCGTTTTCACCTTCTACATACCCAATCCATAGCTGAGCTGCAGAAATAGTAGAAACCGAAATGTGAAGATAAAGAATGCTGTGTGTGACAGAAAAGAGTAAGAAAAAAATAAATAAATAATCAAACGTTTCGCTGACGTCGGCGCGTCTAAAGCGCGACTTAAGCAAGGCGGCTACTGACGAAGCAGTTGCGTGTCACAGTGTCTCGGGGTTGAAGAAATACGGTAAAATTGGGGAGCTTTAAAATCCTATCAGATCTAATGAAGCAGAAGCGGAATGTTCGAATTTAATATCAATGGCCCGTTCCAGAGTTGAATACATTAAGGATTATCCAGTCGACTCCAAATTATCAACTAAACTAAACTAAAATTGGATATATGTATGTACATACAGTGGGCAACAAAAGTCTACGTACAGAGACTTTTGAATGAATACAAAATTTTATTCTTATTTCTTTTCGCTAATGTCTCGTAAAAGTATATTTCATATTCAAAAAAAAAAAAAAAAAAATCGTAAAAATAAAACTTCAAAATCTGCAAAATTCAATAAATTTGCATAAAACTTGCACGCAGTTTTCCCATACAAAGTATATTCGACTGATTCTTTATATGGAAGTAAATGCCCAGCTCCGTGCAAAAATCAACTATACTTACCAACTTGAAACTTGCAAATTATTATACTAAAATTTAATGGGCTGCAAAACTGCATATAGAAATATAATTAGAAAGTTGAAAGTTTGTAAAGTTATTGATTTTTCCTGGGTTGTGAACAAAGCATAGAAG